CTCATTTGATTAAAAGAAAAATTAAATTGATTTATGCCTTCATTTGCACTGTACTGTAAATTAAAACTAATTGAAATTTCTAGTGTCACATAGGCCAAGACAAAAATGCCTGTAAAAGGCTATTAGTGTTATAGTTTCATTACTTGATCTGTAATAATCAGTATCGGCATCGGCCCTGAAAAACACATATCGGTCGACCCCTAATTTACAGTAGGAAATTTACAAAATATCTTCATGGAACATGATCTTTACTTAATGTCCTAATGATTTTATCATAAAAGAAAAATCAATTTTGACCCATACAATGTATTTTTGGCTATTGCTACAAATATACCCCAGCGACTTAAGACTGGTTTTGTGCTTCAGGGTCACAATTTACATTATATTAAAAAAAAAAACATAGTCTTATGATTTTTCTTTATCATATCAACACTATAATTAATAACTAATAATATTTAATCGTGAACGTTTTGAGTATGTAAATCTGACACCATCATCAAAAGCTATTTCCTCTTTTAATGTGCTATATTACCTTCGCTCCCTTACGGATACCAAATGTGTCTGGATATGAAACATGACCCATATCGTTTGCCACAAGGAGAACAACAACACAGCAAAAATAAACAGTGGCGATCAATCAATGGAAATTTCATTCGGATGTAAAAATATTTCTCTAAGGATATGCTGGTAAAAGTGTTACGCCTAACCTACCATGTGCTTTCTGAAACACAATTTTTTTCACCCATTTTGTTTTCTAATACACTCCTGCACTTATTTTAAACATGGTGGAGACAGAGGATGTGCTTAATGATGTGTCTCTAAAAGTTATATTTAAAGATATGACCAAAGGAATAATGAAAAAGTAATATCCACATATCCTGTACGTTCAATAAGAATGAATCTGCATATGGACGGATATGGCCAGTGACTATATGGACAATTGGTCAGGGAGTGAATTAGTCTCACCTGTAGCACTCCACCTGCCGGGTGGAGGAGACCGTGATGAAGGAGTCAGTGCGGATGCAGTAGCTCAGAGGGCCGGGCAACAAGAAGCCTGGCAGGAAGCGACCAAAAGCATAAGTCTCCTGCTCAAAAAACATCAGCATCCCATCCATGGACTGGATACAGATGAAATGATGACCTGCACAACAGCACAGGAAATATTCAGTTGAGACAAGAGAACAGAAGGACATACTCAATAGTATTTTGCAGCTTTGTTGTGCAGATAAAAACACGAACAGAATTACATAGCCCAGATTTCCTCAATATTACACACACACACACCAACGTTAAATAGTTACATTTATTATTTATCATAACTAAAGACTAAACACTTCTTCCTCCAACTAGTATAGTCTAGGTTGCTTATGGTTCCAAGTGATGTAGCGACTTGGTGAATTAATACAGAATGTGCACTAATAGCTCATCAAATCAGAATTCAGAGTCAGAACTGTCCTTTTAATAATAAGAAATAAACATCAAAGAGAATAGCCAAGCTAACATCGTTTATCAGTGTTTATTTGTCTATTGTGTTTGTGTCAAATCTGGGTCGTTCTGTAGTGTTATGATATTTATTCACTCCCATCTGTATTAGAAGTCAAACTATGTTATACATAAAGATGGCTCTGTACAAAAGTCCCTTTAAGACAGGTCAGTTCACACTGTCATCCCTAGAATTTTTTTTTTTAATGCAGGTAATAGGATATAAGTATTGCTGCTATCTACTTGAATGGGAAAAGAACAATATCTACAGCTGCCGTATTAGGAAATAGAATTTTTCTTATTCATATTTCTGTTGTGTCTTCTCCCTTTTATACTATCTAGGCTCTGTCATGTGCAGATCCAATGTGACTATTGGTTGATGAACTCCATCATAGAGACTGTGCTGCCTTCATGTGGTTGATAAGAGAACTGCCAAAAAAAAAGGTACTACTGTAAGTCTAAAATCCTATTAAACCAACATGTGCTACTATTTTATTTATAGTGGGTCAACTTTAAGCAGCTGTCTTCACACAAACAAACCACAAATTTACAGGCAGATGTTCATTGAGACTAAAGAGAGCATTAAGTTTCAACTATTTTGAGAATGATGTGAATAAGAATGAATGTATGAGTAACATTCTATTTGTTTTAACATTTGTTATTACATTAACCTGAATTAACAATAAAAAAAAATGCCCCTTAATCTTAGCTAATGTTAATTTCAACATTTACTAATACATTATAAAAATCAAAACTATCAAACTATTCCATCTATTCCATCACACTAACGATCAATTATGTATCACAAGATAAAGACAGAAAAGGCAAAGAGAAGAGAATGTTTCATATAAAAAGAAAAAAAATATGTAGCTTAATTCAACCCACTGAAAATTTTAGAATGAGATGTATTATGTGTGGAATGCCGATAATATCAATTACCTGTGACACCCCCAAAGGGACCATACGTCATGTTGCAAGCTGTTCTCTGTAAGCTGTGTTCATACACCAGTCGCAGCTGATACTGGTCACCATGTTCAACATTCCCAGCAGTACCTGAGAAAACCAACACCAGCAAACACCACATCTGCAAGAGCACATACATTTGGTGCACAAAATCTGAAGATCAGATAAAAATAAGACAGACTGACTTTTTAAGTTAAACTTAAAACTTCTGTCTTGACAGGTTGTCATGAACGTAAAATAAATTCCATTTTTATGAATGGATTCCGCAATTCTGTCCGAATTGTAGAAATCATAGGGCCCTAAAATTATTTTACGTACTCCATGGCAATGGGCTGCTGACCCCAGAACCCACTTTGGGAACCCCTGGTCTACAATTATAATATCAGTGTAAAGTCAATAAAGAAAGTACAAAAATGACCACTGCATGTGTACAGTTCTGTTTAAGAGGTAACGGCTTTTCAGAACAAAAACTAAAAAAAAGTCAACCCCTAATATGTAAAGTTTTATGGCAGTATTTGAGAGGAAGTACAACATAAGGTAGGTCTGAATCTGTGGAAAACCAACCTGACACAGCATAGACAGACAGCTTCCTGGGGTGAAGCACTGCCAGATGGAGCAACTCTGAACAACTACAATACAAGACAAAAGGAGAAAAAGGAGTTTTTAAAAACAAAATCTCTCACAAAAATGCCTGACTCAGCTCTTTTTAAAGATGTACATGCAGTAACAAAGGAATTCCAACATTAACCCTATAACGCCTTCTGTATCATATTTGATACACGAAATTCTAAGGCCACTAAATGATCCACATTATCAAAACTTTGCTCAAAACCATGCTGGCATCTTCTATATGCCTTCTGTTGTCTGATTGATAGTTTATAAAAAGGCATTTTAGTAGTATACTAAAAACGTCCACCTTCAGATCCATGTGTCTTTTTGCTGTGAAATCTTTACTGATTTTTATAAAGTAAATTTAAGAATAAGTCAAGTCAAGCTGAGCTTTATTGTCATTCTGAGTCAGTGCTATGGGACGGTAGTCGTTTAGACAGGACACAGGTGATTTCTTTGGTACCGGTATGATAAATAACTTTTTCATTGTTAATATATGTGACCCTGGAGCACAAAACCAGTCTTAAGTCGCTGGGGTATATTTGTAGCAATAGCCAAAAATACATTGTATGGGTCAAAATTATTGATTTTTCTTTTATGCCAAAAATCATTAGGATATTAAGTAAAGATCATGTTCCATGAAGATATTTTGTAAATTTCCTACTGTAAATATATTAAAACGTAACTTTTGATTAGTAATATGCATTGCTAAGAACTTCATTTGGACAACTTTATAGGCAATTTTCTCAATATTTTGATTTTTTTTGCACCCTCAGATTCCAGATTTTCAAATAATTGTATATCGGCCAAATATTGTCCTATCCTAACAACCCATACATCAATGGAAAGCTTATTTATTCAGCTTTCAGATGATGTATAAATCTCGAAATTTCGAATAATTTACCCTTATGAATGGTTTTGTGGTCCAGGGTCCACCAGACTGAGGCAACTTAGGTTTACTTGATTGATCCATATATTTTTTTTTTAGAAAAATAATGTTAAAATGTTAAAAATCAGGCTTTAGGGGAACATTTTCTTTGTTCATTATATTGCGCTGCATTATATGTTTTGCCCCCATCATGAAAACTACAGAGCTTTGATCATAAAATCACTAAAAAAGGATGGGTTGTTTCAACCCAACTTTGGGTCAAATATGGACTAACCCAACTGTTGGGTTAAATTGTTTTATTACATTTTTAACCCAAAAGTTTGGTTAGTCCATTAGGGCTGTCAAAATGGCTGAAAAAATAAATTCGAATTTTTTACTTAAATATTATCAAAATTCGTATTATATTCGAATTTAAAATGCATAATTTCAGTTAGGGTGAAGAAAAGCTTTTGGCTTCTCTTCTGAGGCCACAAGAAGGCGCATCGAGATAAATTCGAATTTTTTACTTAAATATTATCAAAATTCTAATTATATTCGAATTTAAAATGCATAATTTCAGTTAGGGTGAAGAAAAACTTTTGGCTTCTCTCCTGAGGCCACAAGATAAATATTTCTAACGCACGTTTATTCAAAGCATAAGATAACATGCCTATCTGTGAAAAAAGTGCATAATGTTTAAAATAATGTTTATAAACCAATTATAATTAAGTTGCTTAAACAACTATAAACAAAACAGCATCATGTATGTATGCATAGTTTAATACAAAGGGCGGAAAGCCAATCACACAGAGTGCATTTTTCATTTAAAAACACAAGTTGCAGTGGGATGGGGGAAAAACCCGCCATAAAGTCTCGAGATATGTTTTTTTCAAAGTTGAACTTGCATTAATTTTATATGACTTTCTAAACATGCGGCTCTTTTGTGCGAGACACGAGTGCAACGCTGATAAATGTCCCTCTAGAAAATGCACGAAATATGTCTTCTGTGTGAACTGCTTGGTTTCAGTTTTGACGTAAACAAGATCTTCTCCGCATTGATGTTCTCTTTTCCCACAATATTTGTAATTAACAACGCTGCATCTAGTGGCTTCAACTGGATAGGTTAACAAAAACATTCAAATGCAATGACACTTACATCGCCATCGCATCTCGTGCGCCACTGATAAAGCTGCGTCCTCAATGCACACCTAAAATTCCAATGCAACGTTTTTGCATTCGAATGTGGATTTTTATTTTAAATTCAACGAATATTCGAAATTCAAATTTTTTTGGACAGCCCTAAAGTCCATATTTGACCCAAAGCTGGGATGAAGCATTTTTTAGAGTGTAAGCATTTAAATATCATCTTACAAAGACATATTATTGGGAGATACAGAGTGACAACTGATATTTATACATTTTATGTAAGTAGTCTGCTATACTGTTTTCCTTCTTGAGTATGAGCTCCATATTCTCCTATCATACTGTAGGAGACATAAAAGCCTGATGTATCAAATATGATACTGAAATAGCTGTCAAACGCCTTAAACCAGCTATAGATCAGACCTACAGAGAAGAATAATTCTTCTATTCAAACATGATACATTTCTAAATATTGTGAGATGCTGCTTCAGGTTAAGCATTAGAACTTCAACTAGACAGTGGCCAGGAATCAATAGAACAATAAATGTATTTTTATCAGACCTCTCTGCTATGATCATCACTACATGTGCATTATGCTCAATGACTGAAGTTGAAAAAAAAAATTGTTTACATATTGGTGATTGTTTCAGCCAGTCTGAGCAGAGAGTAAAGCCTCAATGTTTTAGCTTTGGATTTTCTGTGTGTTGCCAAACAAAAGTAAGGTTCTCTATTGGAGAGATTAGGAATAACATATGCACAAATGAAAGGAAAAAGTCCCAGTATGCCAAGAACTTAATGAATACCAAGGTATTTCAACTGCTCTTTCATGTGGCAGATCTTTTAGAAACAAAACAAATTAGCAATGATTATAAGAAATTAAAAAAGCAAATAATCTAGGCTGATACAAATGCATACAGTATACTTATATACATATATATACATATCTCAACATTCTAGAAGTACAATGGTATAAGCTACTATATCAGGCATTAATAGCATGGTACTTTAAAAGTATACTTAAAACTGGCAAAAGTCATCAAACTATCTAACAAATAACACAGGAGATAATTCTGTTATTTGTGTATGACATTTAATTGTATTTTTTATGAACATATCAATTATTTACCATTGATAAAAACAATTATTTTTCTTAAAGGAGCCATTATAAGATTCCATTATAGGAATCAGAAGTGACCGTTTCTTTCGCAAGTTTGAAAATCTGACTGCATTTGCTGTATAAGACAGTATAAGAGAACATAGAGTACTAATCATAATTAATGTAGTTGCATCATAATTTGGAATGTGTGTGTTTAGAATTAGGCACATAATAAAGACTACAGAAGCCCTGTGCTGCACTTCCCTTGAGTAGGCAACAAAATAGCTGCAAAAATATCAGTGAAGTATCAGTGAAAGGAGTTGATAACCCTAAAGTAAAATGTTAATTTTCTGAATAAACACCTGGTTTGTATGATTTATTTAATTTCTAGTAGTAAACGTCATTAAAAAATTAAATAAACCTAAAAAAAACACCAGAATAGGTAACAGAATTTAGAGAGAAGAAATGATGGTTTCCAGTGGTTGATACGCTTTTATTTGATTTTTTTATTTCAGAAAAATATGGGACATGAAATAAACAAATACTTTATCTAACTTTTATCATTTTGATTGATTGATTCATTTCAGATTGATAAATGTGCTAATTATGATTTTGTAGAGATGTGGTTGAGTTGGTAGTGATGATTGTTGTAATGTGAATATGAACAGTCACTCATAATGGTAGAAACAGCACGTGAGACTTACGAGACAAACTCGCCCATCTCCACTTGAATGATGGGATCAGGCAATTGAACCTCCAGCAGTTGGGCATCAGCTTCCGTCTGCTCATCTGGTTTAGCAGGGTGTGGTGAGAAGATGCGTAACATCCCCATAAAACTGCCCACTACAATCTTATCTGGATTAGAGAACAGGAGAGAGAAAGAGAGAATGTAAACAGCTTACAATCCTACTCCAGGGTCCCTTAAGTAATTACGTACATGCTCACTCTTCAAATATGGAACAGCACCAGACAATAAATTCCGCGGGTAAAATACTTTGTCTATTTCCTGTTGCTGTAATTCGATGGTTGAGATGACTGAGACGGATTCTACATTTGTGAGATGGGCATAGCCTACTGCGGGGTCGGAGAAGAGAAAATGCGGCGGATGAGCACAGACAAGCAACAGAAATTAAGTTTAAATAAAAAATAACAATTTGTTTTTATTAAATCATAGTCTACATATAAAAGGAATTAATACGCGAAATATATTTGAGTCAAATAATTAACAGATTAACAAAACGAAAGAAAAGAAAAACGACAATAATGTAAAATATGCTGCTGAGTTTGGTTCATTTTTGTGGCGCTGCGCTCTGCAAAAGTTCACGGAAAGGAAACCGAGATGACAAGCGCATCCTAAAATAAAAGTAAACACATTGCAGTTTCGAAGAATCTGTATGACCAAAAATGACGGAGTATTTTATGTTTCCGCTGTTCGATTGCGCCGGCGCCTCACGCACAACATCGGTTTCTGTTTCAGTTTTGCTTTAAATTAATTTGTTTTGGCTTGTTTTGCAACTTATATTTTTCATTTTTGTTTTGTTCTGAATACAGTTAAATTTAAAGGATTTGTTGTGGAGTGAGGAGAACTAACATAGCCTATAGGCTTGCTATTGTGTTTAATGCTTGTTCATTAGGGCCTATAACATTCCGCTTTATTTACCGCTATTATTTCTGAATGTAGGCTAATTGCGGTTTGTGCTTGAAAGTGAAAGTAACTCACTAAGTAACTTAAAAGTAGTGTAACGCATTACAATTCAGAGACAGTAATATTGTAATGTAACTAATTACTTTTAAAAGGAAGTAATAAGTAATATATAATGTATTATATTTTGGAAGTAACTTGCCCAACACTGTTGTTGACACACTACAATATACAAAATGAAATGTCAATGTATTTAAATTGAAAGAAAAATATCCTCCTTTTTCTTACACCCCATGACGCTTTGCGCAAATTATGGGAGTAACTTCCATTAAGCTGTATACAATCAGCAAAAGGTTTGCTCTATAAACGCAAAAATAAGCACGTTCAAAAACTGGATACAATGAGGTGACATTATTCTACTCACCCTTCAACCATCAATCATTTATAAGGAAATGTAAAAGTGTAAAGCATTAACAAATTACTTTCAACATACATGGATAACCCCTAAAGCTCAACAATTACATTTAGTATCTGTATGAAAACAAACCTGGAAACGAAAGATCCTTTGTGCATTGCAGAGAATTGTTCATGAGATATCTCATAAATAAAATAGGTAGAGCAGATCACAAACACGCAGTACATGTTGTCGTTTTTCATACTGTTACAATGGAATACAAAAGAAAAAAAAAAGAATGCAGAGAAATCTCAGTACATGTAGGGCAAGGCAGGAAACTTCAGTTGAATGTGCATGACCTCTGAGCCCTCAGACGGCATTGCATACGAAGCCGTCATGCCGCATGTGATCAACTAGAGACAAAAAAAAGAGGAAAATCTGACCACGCCCCTCGCACTTATTTTTTTTTTTATCACATTAAAAGATATATCTTATATTGTAATACTACTAGTGCTGTCAAATTATTAATCACGATTAATCGCGATTAATTGCATCCAAAATAAAAGTTTTTGTTTACATAATATATGTGTGTATTGTGTATATTTATTATGTATATATAAATACACAAACATATATGTATATTTTTTTTAGTGTCCTGTAAAAATAAAAAGCAGCATTTAATAATCATGATAATAATTAATCATATATAATATAATAAAAGTATTAATAGAATTGTTATTATTAAAGTACCTGACAAAAGTTTGGAAACATTAAAATTATTAATGATATTGAAATAAATCTCTTTTGCTCACCAAGGCTGCATTTATTTGATCAAAAAAAAAAAAAACTCAATATTGTGAAATATTATTACAAATTTAAAAAAAAATCTATTTTAATATATTATAAAATGTCATTTATTTCTGTGATGCAAACCAAATTTTCAGCATCGTTAGCCCAGTTTTCAGTGTCACATGATCTTTCAGAAATCATTACAATTTGATTTGATGTTTAGGAAACATTTCTGATTAATCAATGTTGAAAACAGTTGTGCTGCTTCATATTTTGTGTGGAAATGGTGATACATTTTATTTTTCAGGATTCTTTGATAAATAGAAAGTTCAATGAACAGCATTTATTTGCAATTATCAAACATATTACATTTATTAAATAAAAATCTTTTGAAACATTTTAAATGTCTTAACTCACTTTTCATCACTTTAATGTATGATGAACAAAATTATTAATTTCTCTCTCTTTTTTTTAAATCACAAATGTTTGAGTGGTATCATTGTTTCCACAAAAAAGCAGCAAAAACTATTTTTAACATTGATAATAATAAATGATAATAAAAAAATTGTAAATGTCTCTTGAGCAGCAAATCAGCATACTAGAATGATTTCTGAAGGATCATGTGACACTGAAACTTCTCTTTGTAAACAACAACACATTTATAAATGAACTCATAAAAAGTTACCGCGCGAGAAACACGTTTCAGCGCTGATTCTACTTGCATTTGGCGCTTTGAACCATTTGAATCCTTTTAACTGTTTTTTTTAGTTAACTGCTTAAGGCTATTTCGCCATTTCAATTATCATGCAGTATCACCCTGATCTGCATGATTCACGTGGGTCATGATTTTAGGCTGAAAAAAAAAAACAGAATTCCGGGTTAATCCAGAAGAATCACATCCCTGGGTGTTAAATATAGCCACATGGGCTCAGGAGTACTTCACTAAACCACTGTCATTTACCACAGTCTGCCGCTGTATTAAGAAATGCAACTTGAATCTCTGTTACGCAAGGAGAAAGCTACACATCAATTCAATGCAGTGATGGCGCCGGGTTCTCTGGGCCAGAGCTCATCTCAGATAGTCAAAAAGACAGTGGAAATGTGTGCTGTGGTCAGATGAGTTTCAGCTTGTTCTTGGGAAAAACACACATCAAATTCTCAGCCCCAAAGACCAAAGGGACTATCCAGACTTTCACCAGTGACAGATGCAACAGCAAATGCCTGTCATGGTATGGGGGTGCAGCAGAACAAACGGCATCGGTGACTGGCATATGTGCGAATGTACCATTGACATGGAGGCATATATTGGGATTGTACAGAGACTTATATTGCCATCAAGACATCTTTCAAGGAAAGTCCATGGTTATTAGATCAAGACAATGCCAGGTCTCATTCAGCATGTGCTACAACAGCGTTCTGTAGGCACATGTGGATGTGACTGACTGGCCAGCAGATCTGTCTCCTATTGAAAATGTATGGCCCATCATGAAAAGGAGAATCATACAATAACGACTACGGACTGATGAGCAGCTGTAGTCTTGTATCAAGCAAGGCTGGACAAAATTTTTTACCCCTTTAACTTTAACAATTAGTATCCTCAATTCTCAAATGATTAAACATTGTAATTAAAAGGACAGTTGATGTGACTGAGTGTTAAACATGTCCCTGTCCCAACTTTTTTGTTTATATTTACAAAATACATTTAAGTTGGTCAGTGCAAACATTGGAAATCTTGTCTTTGTGCGTTTGTCAATTAAATAAAGTTTAAAGAGAATGAACAAATGACAGATTCTTGATTTTTATTGCATTTTAAAAAATGTCCCAACTTTTTTGCAATTGGGGTTGTACTACTACTGTAATATTTAAATGAGCCATGTAATAAGTAATTTAACTCACCATATCCACTTCCACTGTTATCCACATCCCCAACACACAGACACCCCTGGTCAAACTCCTCACCCTCACCCAGCACTGATGCCCACCAATCACGAGCCTTAAATAAAGACATCCTGTAAAGAGATGACAAGAGAGGTGAATTGACTTACTGTATTAGTACCATCTGCCTCCTTCAAATACTTGAGTGCTGTGAAAAAAAAGTGTTTCACCCATGTCTGATTTTCTGCATTTTTGCACATTTTTACACTGCATGTCATCAGATCTTAAACCAAAACGTATGCATGCATAAAAGTGAACCAGAAGCAAAAAAAAAAAAAAAGCATTAACGAAGTAATTACAGCCAGTGCCCCAGTGTGAAACAGTGACTGAATGAATAACTGGATATACCCCATCAGCATCAATAATCACATCTAAACAGTTTCCTGTAGGCATTTATGGGTTTTTCACACTGTGGACGAATTTCAGCCCACTCTTTCTTGCAGAACTACTTCAATGACATTCATAGGCTTTCAAGCATGAGCTGCAGTTTAAGGTCCTGTACAGTTTTAGTCATTTGTAACTTCCACCACCAGAATTGACAGTTATGATATGAGCTTCATCTTAGCTTTACGTTTTCAGCTCAGCTTTACTTTTCACTGAATATAACTTGGCTTATGGCTTGGAAAAATTTAGCATCATATCACTTGCTCACCAATGGATCCTCTGCAGTGAATGGGTGCCGTCAGAATGAGAGTACATACAACTGATAAAAAAACATCATAATAATCCACAAGTAATCTACATGACTCTATTTTATCAATTAACATCTTGTGAAGTGAAAAGCAGCATGTTTTTAAGAAACAAATCCATCATTAAGGCATTTTTAATTTAAACAATTGCTTTTGGTCAAAATACGAGTCTATATTCCATAACAATGCTTCCCCCAGTTGTGAAGGTGCATCCCCTGTTGTCCTCTCACATCAAAATCTACCAACAGATTACAACTGTTTTGGACTGTTTTCACTTGTAAATGGTGCTTGATCTGTGCATATGGATGAAGGACTTTAGCCAGAAGATGTATTTTAACTGAAACTGAACTCTCATTCTGATGGCACCCATTCACTGCAGAGGATCCATTGGTGAGCATGTGATGTAATGCTAAATTTCTCAAAATCAGTTTGGATAAAGAAACAAACTCATCTGCATCTTGGATGGCCTGCCCTGAGGGTGAGAAAGCATTCATATCTTTGTATTCATTTTCATTTTTTATATTCCTTTACGGTTCTTTTATTCAATTCAATTCATTTTATCAACATGCTCTTGGATAGATTTCAGCATAACAGCTACTACAACTATTATTGAGGTATTTCCACTAATCTATATAATACACAGACAATAGAATAGAATAGACAATTTAGATCTAAATATTATTTTTTTTATATACTTATATTTTTTCATTCCCATCAGGTGCATTTTTACCAAAGTGACTTACAGCAAAGTGCACAAAGCTCAGTAAGGGCGAATACCAGGACATGCAGCTGAGATACATTATTAGACCTAATGTTTTTACATATTGGTGGACCAAATACACAGATATTAAAATAGAAGAGCAACCACAGCAGAATAAATACTGCTGGATCTCATTACACTCATGTATTTTATGTTGGAGTAAAAAATGCAAGCATAAAGACCAGGACAAATCATTCCCTGACTTTGTTTGCAAGTGGTCACTTCTGTGCACATGGTCCGATGCTGACTGAACCACTGGGTCTGCCAGATATACAACTGATTTCAGAACATGACAGACAGGTCACATGACTTGCAGATTTCATTGGCTGGGCTGCAGCCCAAGCAGCTTTCCTAACTAACTGCTGACTGCTTAACAAAGCTAATCCACACACCAGAGAGACACAGAGAACAGGAAATGCAAGGAAGTAGACCAATCCAATAAGATGGACAGATTTCTGTGCATTGGCATAATATATCAAATGTTTCAGCACATAAAATACTGAAGAGCGTTATCTAAAGAATATATGGTGTTTATCTCTAATAGAGCCATAAAATCATGAAGAATTAGTCCAATATAAATAGCACCAATATGACTTTTTAACAAGAGGGTCTACATATAACGTTACAGCAAATATTGAATTAAACTATGATTATAAAATCTAGTTGATATTTAGTATTGATTTACTTAAAAAGCACGCTGGGTTCTTACATTTGAGTCAATATTCTAGAAAATCAGAGAGCATCCATACTAACCTGTTAACATCGATTTTTACGATATGAGAGCCTTTACATTCATGTGAATGCGATAATAAATCATATAACTTATCCAGTGAATGACAGAATGTTGAGTGTTCTGCTGAATCTACTCAGCTTTGTTTGTTCGTTGCGCTTGCTGCCCATACTGCTCTACTCTCACTATTGTATCGTTCAAAGTGACGCTGTTCTTATTGGTACATATTAAATACATAAAGTAGTTTTGTTCTACCTTGAATGCAGTGATATTTTCTCCAGTAATGTGTGGTAAAACAAGACAGCTCAAGACATCTCAGCTTCTCACACTCGACCTGCTGTTGTCATGGTACTGACACCGACGCTGAAGCCAGAACTGTGTAACGTGACAGCGTGTTATCAAAATAAAAGTCCCTGATCCTCACTCCCTAGTTTTCCGTTAACAGCAATAAAAAGTGTATCTGTTTATATATATATATATATATATATATATATATATATATATAACTTT